GTGCTTCTTTTAAAATTGCAGCTAGTTAGATAGGTGTCTATTTCACTGTACCAGGCTCTGGGAGCCTGCTTCAAACCATAGAGGGCCTTCTTTAATTTATAGACCTTGTGACTTGCTGTTTTCACTTCAAACCCCTCTGGTTGCTCAGTATAAACCTCCTCCTCAAGTACTCCATTCAAGAAGGCTGACTTAACATCTAATTGAAACAACTTCCAACCCTTTTGTGCTGCAAGTGCAATCAAAGTTCTAATTGTATCTAACCTTGCCACTGGGGCAAAGGTTTCATTATAATCAATACCAGGTTTCTGAGCATACCCTTTAGCTACAAGCCTAGCCTTGTGTTTTTGAACTGTTCCATCCAGATTCAACTTGGTTTTGAACACCCATTTGACTCCTATGACTGGTTTATCTGTAGGCCTTTCCACTAGCTCCCAAGTTCCATTCTTTTCAATGGTTTCAATCTCAGCATCCATTGCTTCCTTCCATGCTTTGTCTTCTACAGCTTCATAATAAGTTTCAGGTTCAATAATGGTCATGTGACATCTTGCATAAATGTCCTCCAAACTTCTCAGCTTTACTGGTGTATTGCTTGGAGTTGACCCTTGACTGGTGCCACTGCCATTTCTTCCAGAGACATGTTCATCATCTGAGATTAATTGATTCAGATTTGGTGAATCAATGCTATGAATTTCATGAGAGGCTTCTTCTGTTTCAGCTATCTCAGAATTTCCATTTTCAAAGATGAAAGGCACAGAAACAGTTTCATCTTGCTTGCTTTCCCAATTCCAGGATTTGTTCTCATCAAAAACAACACTTCTAGAGAGTATAATCTTCTCAGTTTGAAGATTATAGACCCTGTAACCCTTCTCACAGCTGCCATAACCCATAAAAATTCCTTTGCTTGCTTTGTCATCAAACTTCTGTCTAAGGTTTGATGGAATGTGACTGTAACATATACTTCCAAACACTCTCAGGTGTTTTGCACCTGGTTTCCTTCATGTGAAAGCTTCAAATGGAGTTTTGTCTGAAACTGAAGTAGTATAGCACCTGTTTTGCAGATACACAGCAGTACCAACTGCTTCAGCCCAGAACTTTACAGGGATTTTCTTCTCAGTCATCATTGATCTTGCCATTTCACAGATGGTTCTGTTTCTTCTCTCAGCAACCCCATTTTGCTGAGGTGAGTAGGCAATAGTCAGTTGCCTCTCCATGCCAAGATCACTGCAAAACTCAAGGAATTCATGTGAAGTGTACTCTCCACCTCTGTCACTTCTTAGTTTCTTTAAGTTGAATCCACTTGTAGCCCAATAAATGCTTTGAACTTTTTGAACACACTTATCACACTTGACTTGTTTCTGAGAAAATATACCCAACACATTCTTGAATAGTCATCAATGAATGTGATGAAGTATCTATTTCCTCCAATGGACTCATTTTGCATTGGACCACATACATCCGTGTGTATCAACTCAAGTGGATGCTTAGCTCTCCAAGACTTCTCATTTTCAAATGGTTCTCTGCGGCTTTTACCATACACACAGCCTTCACATACTCCTTCTTTTT